CGTAATCTGCTCTTCGGCACCAAGGTGCTGACACAAATGGGTCCCGAAAAGGCACGAGTTCCAACACTTGCGGACAAAGGCTCATGTGGTGGACCAACGAGGCCAAAAAAGTAGGTCCTGAGTCTGCGGGCTCGCCTCACCCAGCATCTCAAGTCCTCTTTTGCCTGCACGCAACCTGCGGAGATCATGATATGAGTTTCTGAGACGGCCACGATCTCAAGAGTAGCCATTAGACACTCTTGGGTTTTTCATGGCTTTACCGGAAACATGTGCTCGGTTCTTCAAACCCTGCGCTCTATGAGCACCAAGCTCTAAAGCATCTCCAAAAGTCCGATGCCTGTGCATGCGTAGGTGACAAAGAAGCCTCTGGAGTGCTACTTCCTTCTTGAGCGCCGCCCGGATATCAAGACTCTCGGGTCTTATAATGTCTTATACCTCAGACAGTATCGGGTTTCTTGTAGCTGCGCATGCTCCCAGAGGCCTGTGGGCCTGAAACCTGTGCATTCTCACGGGGACTCCGTCCGTGGGAAAGATCCAAGGAATCCGACAGGCGATCCCCCGAGTTCCGTACAATGGTGCATCCCAAACCAGCCCCCAAAACCGGGATCATCCCATTGTCATTAAAACTGAACATCGGGCTGGACTTGGGATGGGTACGCACCTGAAGAGTGAAGCTGGGGCGATATTGCAGAATGCCTAGCCTGGCTTCCCAACTCAGCGTATGCTTCACGACAAATGCTTGTTGTGGCAAGGCGTCTGTTCCGAAATCGGGTCGAGTCTGTCATGAAGAATCAACATCAAATGACAAGCAATTTGCAATCCGATTTTCTTAATGTGATGAGATAAAGCCCACGCCCAAACCTAAGGCAACTCTGAGTGCTCAATCATGCCGACACCGCGGCCGCTGCGTGATGGGTGAGAAAATCCGATGCTGGACCACACAGCCCGTCGCCAGCAAAGCGCTCACCTCTGCTCTTGTTCTGCCCGTAGACAATAAGTAAAGAACCTGGTAAGCAAACTTCAACTTGCCTGGCTCGAAGCCAACTAACAAAGAATTCCGGCCAAACTCAAGTTAGTCAGTTAATCCCTCCGCAATCTGGCCGAATGGAAGGGTCGGAGATCACAAAAGAGCTATCTGCTCTTCAACGCAGCTGTAAGCAATAATAAACGACTAATACGCCTGTGCTGCTATAGTGGCCGGGCCCAAGAGGGACATTGCCCGAAGAAAGATGCCGCGGATAAACGGGTTGAGGACAAGAGCCAACATCCTGAGTTTGAGGATGTTTGGGGGGAAGTTGCCCCGGTCTTCGGTGAAGGGATGTGGCTGTTCAGGGATTAGGATCTGATGCCAAGTGTGCTTCGAAGATCAAGTGAATTTCCCCTCAAAGCCTTATGCTTACCCAGTGGAACACTATTGTTTAAAGGGTACTCAGCGCTGCAGAAGTTGCGATGACCTCTCATTACAGTAAGAGTCATACGAGCACACCAACTACCTACCGCTGACTGAATAGCGCAGCACCTCCTGCAATTTGATGTGCTCAGGATGATACTTATGACTCGTAATTCAGTAGCGGCACGACTACGACTGTGAGTGTTGTTCTTAGTACAGGAAATGCTGCGAGTGGTAGTAGAATGGTCTTGGTGGTGGTGGCGGTGGTGGTCGTGGTGGTGGTGGTGCTGGTGCTGAAGGTGGTGGCGGCGCTGGTGGGGCGAGCGGTAGTGGTGGTACCAGTCGTAGTGGGTAGCAGCAGTGGCAATAGTCGCAATCCGTGAAATCGTTTTAATACTAGGAGCGGTAGCTTTGAATATTGAATTTTGGTGCTTTGCTCGGCAGGCCGCAAACCCTGCGATGCTACATTCCCGCGGCTGCTGCGGTTTGCAGTTCCCGATCAATGCCTGCAGTCCCATGCTCCCGCGGCCCGTGCTGGCAGCAGTCCGATCAATCGAGAAAGAACCAAACTTTGAGAGGGAAAGGAACTCAACTCACACGTTCTAGTAGTACACAGCGGCCCTTGCAATCGTAAGGTTTTGGATGCTGGGATACTCCCTAAACCGAAACTCGGCGAGAGAGAGAGAGAGGAACGAGCTCTGATACAGGTTAAGCAATTAGCTATAGGGGCTCAACCCTCCACCCCCAGGGGAAGGGACTACACACACACACTCTCTCTCTCTCTCTCTCTCAAACTCGCGCACACACACACACTCTCATTTAATGCATGTGTATATATATATATGCACACGAAATGATGCACATGTATATGTCCATGTGTGTATGTATTTTTGGCATTCGCACTCGGCGAGGTCAGGCGAGGATCCCAGAAGACAACATCTAGACCCAAGAGCACGTTTATGCCTATGCTATATGTTTATACTGGGCTCCTTGCTTTACCTTGATTAGTTAACAGGTAAGCCCAATTCGCGGCAAGGCGGTCTACAACCTGCACCTCCACACGACTTAGGGTGTGCAGCCCTGACGGGTCAGGTTGCGGAGCGGCCTAGTGGTCCGGATTAGGAGAAATCCGACCTAAAATGATCCGAGATGGGTAAAGGATGGCCTTGAGAAACTCCCGAATCGGACTTCCCTGCAATTGCATTCCAGGATCAAAGCCGCAACGATCAATGGTCCGATGGACGGCTTGCCCAGTGCAGAGGACAAACGGTCGAGGCTGTCACGCCTGTGCAAGAATAAACTGGCTGGGTGACCTGGACTTGAGGAGGTTCGGGCTTAAGGCGTAGCTGTGGGCTCGCAAGGGACGCACATGTTCGGATCTCAACATCAGCGGCTATCCCATTAGCAACGCAAAATTTGTCTTACTATATGCCAATCGTGACCGCCATCTACATCACCAGCAGCAACGAGATCATCTTTGCATCATCATGCAGAAGCATTTCCAGATCCTCCGTGTCTTACTCACATCTTCATCGCTAGCCACATATGCTTTATTCTAGCAGTGTGCTCAGCTTCTGCATCTTCCTTGCTGTTAGCAGCATACTTTAATTTCTTCTTTCGCACGACCTCACAAACCAACAGATCGTCGTAGCTGATTGTGCGCAGCAAGTCCCACAGTTCATTAAGCCCACATAGACAACATGCTGAACCGACAATCTACCAACTGGTAACTGTGGCTGAAAACTACCGAGCAGCAGCTAAATACTGGTACCGATCATGATCATGTTCTTTAGTGTTGGCCCTTCCTGGTCCTGTCAGTCCGGGTATGTCTCGGTAGTGTCACCAGCAGAACTGCAACAAGCGGTAGCAGTGTGCTGACATGTTCTTAATTCTTAATAATGCTACTAAGTACCTTGCTACCCATATTTTGGATTATGTTGCGATAAGTTTGCCTCTTGCTCCCCTTTTCCATTTCATCTTGTACGTTTGCAGCCCGGCGGCAACAGTGAGTTGACTTTCAGGAGGAGTTGAACTGTCCTGGCCAGACGAACTCACCAGAAGCCCTGCAGGTCAAAGACATCGGGGAGGTAACAGCATTGTGAGAGCATTGCCAAATCCACATCTCTTGCCAAGGCCTATCTAGTCTCCTCACCGCGGGGCTTAATCTACGTCCAAGGCATTCAAGGAATTCACATAAACCCCAGGCTCCAAACGAACATCTGGCCCAGGTTCCACAGAAAACCCAGAACAACAATTAGGAAGCCTCCAAAAACTGCGGAACCTTGCAACTCCGGACCCTGGGCCGTTAAAAAGAACTCGCGGTCTCTCCTCAGCTCTGAGCCCAAGTCCGCCTCTTTCAGCAACATGTGCCTGCGACGGGAGCTGCATGATCCAGCCCCCTGACGACTATGCCTAAAGGCTGCATGTTGATACAACATTTTGAGTGCCGAATTAAAAGAAATGGTCCTGCAGCACCAATCCGATTGCGCAGCTGAGCCTTGCAGCATCACATCCTCCTGCTCGAATGTACTAGTACCTACCACTACCACTCAGCAATAACAAGGCTGCTGCTACTTACTGCCGCTGCTGCTGCTGCCACCACTACCACTACCACTACCACTACCACTACCACCACTACTACTACTACTACTACTACTACTACTACTACTCTACTACTGCTACTACTGCTACTACTGCTGCTACTACTACTACTACTACTACTACC